TATATAATATAATAAAAATAAAATAAAATATTGAAAAATATGTATGTATGTGTACATATATACATTCTGTTTTAATATTTTCATAATTAAATTTAATTAATGCTATATATATTTTTTACAGTTTAGAAAACAATCTGTGCAATGTAACATAGATACAATACAACATATTCCAGAACCTGAATATGATACAAATTTTTTATGTAATCCATCAAATCGAGATATTATTTTCAATAATATAATGGCAAGAAAAAGTATTGGGAATATTGATAAGGTTCTAGAGCTTTCAGAGAAATCTGAATTAAAGGAATCTTTTTTGTATGAGTTGAGTAAAATACCAAATCAAACAGATCCAATGGTATTATCTTATGGCAAAGAACCAAAAATATTAAAGGAATGTGGATCTAAGCCACTATTTGATTTTGAACCACAAGAATTTGTAAAAATAGCTACAGATTTAAAATTATTAAAACAATCCTTGGGAGCTTTAATAGGACAACGAGGTTACATATTTTTAGGAGATTTAGCAGAATTAGAAGAAGTATTAGTCCACTATACAATCAAAGAATTAATGAGGCATGGTTTTAAACTTGTTTCTGTACCTGATATTATTCCTACCAAAATTATAGAAAGATGTGGTTTGATATCAGATAATGGAAGAACTCTTGTATATAGTTTGAATCCTTTTTATGAACAAGATTACAGTCTATCTGGAACAGCAGAAATGTCATTAGCTTATAAAGTTATGAATACTATATTTGATGCTGCAGATTTACCATTAAAAATGGCTGCTGTAAGCAGATGTTTTAGAGCAGAAACTTCAAGTATTATAGAAGAAAGGGGTATATATAGGTAATATCATGTTTTACTTGTTTTTAAATATATGTAGTTATTGTAATGACCTAGTAATTATTTTAACTAAATATTTGATTAAAGAACTGTTTAATATCTTTAGTATCCAAGTTTATTTATTTTAATTAAGGGTTCATCAGTTTACAAAAGTTGAAATGTTTGTATGTTCTGAACATGAAAAATCTACAAAACAATTTGAAGAACTTCAAGAAATTCAAGAAAATTTATTTTCTTCTCTAAATTTACATTTTCGAATAATTGATATGCCACCTTATGATTTAGGAGCTCCAGCATATAGGTTTGTAATATAATATATGTACATGTCTAACTAAATTTTAAGTTCTTCAATGTCATTTTACAAATTTATATATTTAGGAAAGTCGACATGGAAGGTTGGATGCCTGGAAGAAAATTATATGGAGAATTATCAAGTTGCAGTAATTGTACAGATTACCAATCACGACGGCTCGGTATAAAATATAAAACAAAAGATGGAAAACTTTTGCATGTTCATACTTTAAATGGAACTGCATGTGCTATACCTCGTATGTTAATTGCACTTTGTGAAACACATCAAACAAAACATGCTCGCATTAAAATTCCTGAAATATTAATTCCATTTATGAACGAAAAAAATCTTATTAAGAAACAACCAGTTGCAAATATGAGATTCCATAAGTATAAGCAACAAATTTAATGTATAGATGTTTTAGTACATAAACATTCATAAATATAAACGTAATTTCTAGTAATGTGTAAATTGAAAAAATATTTCATTGTATTTATAATTATGAAAATATGAAAATAAAA